ATAGGTTACCACGGCGATCGATGTTCGCCGAAGCAAACACCGAGTGGACAAAAGCTAAGACCTGGCACAAGGGTATGAAAACCCTAACCAAGAGACTGGGTCATATAGGTCCTGTTAGGCTCCCTGGCAGGGGACCTCGGGATGATCGTAACCGATGGTTAGAGACACTGAGTGATATGGCTGGGTGTCGCAACCAGTGGCGTTCGTGCATCTTCTTAATCTGTTTGCAACCTTAGACCACTGAACTTCTCTATTTTCAGTATGACTCCACTTTCAACTTTCCTTTCTTCTCCTACTCTTCATCCAAATGGGCAGCCTAAAGACAGCAACCAAAACCGGCGCACGAATATGGTTCTCATAAAATAGCATGAACTAGTGAAACAGTAAACTACAATGAATAAATTGAATATTCCCATGAATGAATAGCATTGTGTGTCATACTGAAAAGGATGTGTAGGAGTTTAAAATCATCATTCAGTTAAAATCGATTAGCTATAAGAACAAGAAAAATCGAAATTTCCGGAAGAGGCACCAACAATAACAGAACTATTCATGATTAGCTATCAACTATAGGAATGATGCACAATCCACGACTTACCGGAAGCTTCTAACCGTAGAATTCTATCAGTCAAATCACGACAAAGTTGTTCGGCTTCTTTGCGTTGAAATCGCTCCGAATCCAATTCCTTCAGAACCTGCTGCTTTGGAAATTGAAAAAATGAAATAAATCGATCACAAGCCGCATGAACTTTGCAACCAAACAACCAAGTATGAGCGAGAAGGTCAGACAAAGTGATTGTCTGTATCACCGGACAAGTACACATTTTAATCATGAATTAAAATACAAAATGTAGATCAACCCACTGTGTTTGGGTTCAGGTTTTTACGGGTAAATAATGCAATATGAAACGAAACGGAATAACACAGCGCATTGTGGGATTTATACCGGTCAAGTGGGAACAGGGGGTAAGAAATTTCAAACCACATAGTGGAGTTTCGATGTCTGAAAGATTCCCATCACAGCATTTAGAACAAACACAATTTGACGAAAAAATTGTTTTTTAGTAATTCCTTCTTGAGTGGGAGTTTGTCATAGTCAACTTGAATTTGTTATTCGATTGGTTGAATTAAGTTACGACATCGTACGAAAGGTGTACCAAAAACCGACATGGACTGGCCAGTACACCAATTTCAATAGTTTCGTTAGCATCCAGCAGAAACGAAACTCAGTCAAACGCTTGGCCACCAGGGCGAGGGCAATTGGCTCTCAGGAGGTGCTGATGTGTTGACGCTCATTAGAAACACATTGCGTGAGAATGGATTCCCGGATCGTTTCATCTAAAGGAATCTGATTGATCAAATACCGAAAACTCCCATACAAACTGTGAGAAAGAAAGATTTGTTCATCAGTTTGTCATTCAAAGGCGATACCGTGAGTGAGATCCTACTTGGACAACTGAACAGAGAGATGGACAACGCCTTCAACGCTGCTAAGTTACGATGCGTGTTTCATGGCACTCCAATGATCCACATTCAAAATAAAAGTAAACTGTCGACGCTGACCTCATCAATGATTGTATGCTCTTTAAGGTGCGTATTTGGCACATCTGATGTTGGTCGAACGGCACGACAACTATCTACCTGGATCAAAGAGCATCGCCCACGCTGGTTAAGACTAGGACAGACCGGATTAATAAACAGCTCCATCCTAGCCCATTTAATCGACACCGGACATCAAGTAAATCCGGACGTCACTTTCAGGGTTGTTCATCGTGTCCTTTACACCAAGTGCAAGGGGGCTCAACTGCGTATCCTAGCAATAGCCGAAGCGATCGGGATAAGACAGTTGACCCCTGACCTCTGCGCCCAAAAGCGTTTGGTTCAGTCACTCCAACTTCCATGGCCCGTGATCGATCAGTCCCGAGTGTGTCTGCCGTCCAGTCACCCTGTTGCCGTAACTTAGTTCAACCAATCAAATAACAAATGCCAGTTGACTATGACAAACTCTTACCCATAATTGGTGGTGTCTAACTGTGTGATCCATTTTCTTATGTTACCTATGTAATCGTACAAGGCTTAAGAAGGAATTACTGAAAAACAATTTGTTCGTCAAATTGTATTTGTTCCAAATAGTGGAATTTGTTGTGTATACAGCGCGAACGGAAAAACTAGGGAGCACAGTACAGCTGTTTCAACTTGGATGGGTCTAATCAGCAGTGGGAATACATCTACCCAATTGGGGATCGAACCTGGGGACTCACAGGTAGAACTATATAATAATACCCACTCGACCACCGGGTGATGATGATCAGGCCGTTTTTGTTTTCATTTTGCCTTAACACGACATAGCACCTGTCATGTAACAAGTAGTTTGATCGGAACGTCTCCAACCGAGTCATTACCCTGGCGGCTAGAGCTGAATTGAATGAGGTGCGATGTCCACAACAAGCGCGCGAAGATGGGATGTGCTATACAATGTATAAGGAAAACTAAAAAAAACTGATTTAACCAGCTATCCTGTGATCGAGTGGGTACAATGATTGCATTGTTAGTGATAGTATCCATCCTCTCCATACATATACCTTTCCCATATTCGCACCTCGTTGGTTTACCGGATCAAGACAACCTGGTTGATCACGACACGTCGTTGACTTTCTGCAAGCTTACTTACCTGTACGCTCCTCTCTCTCTCTCTCCCTCTCTCTCTCTCTCTCTCTCTGCTCTACAGATCATTCCAATACAACCGTCGTTGAGGCTCCGTGATACCAGTCGCTCTCGCTTTGGTTCATCCCTTCTTCCGTTGCTCGGCGTACTTATTTGTGGATATCATTGGCCTAGACACTAAAATTTCCACCTATGCGGTCCCGGGTTCGAGCCTCGCTCGGGTCGATGGATTCACGCTGCTGATAGGACGTAATCAGTTGTCCCCTGCTTCCTAGTATTTTCAGTTCACGCTTCACTTAATGTATACACGACTAAATCCACCACATAATTGGATCAAATCCTCCCCTAACCATAAAGTTATAATCAATGTAGTGACGATTTTGTACTACGAAAATATCTTCTGATGGTTGAAAGACGCACTGATCTGGATTTGAAGATCAAAATTCGAGAACAACTGACGGAGTCATAATTAACGACTTGTTTCGTCCAAACGAAAGTCACGCATTACACCAGGCCTACCATGACCGATTATTATTTCAAAAGGTATTTGAACAAGTCTTAATGGTTAGTGCTGGTCATCTCAATGAAGATTCCGGAAATTTAAACTTGGGATAGGGCTGCGGATATATATCACTGATAAGCTCTAATGAGAGCGAAATTCGAGTCTAGTGCTTAACGAGTGTATATAGTTGATTGCACGAACTGACGATTGTGTATAAGCACGAATTCTGAAAGTCACTTAAGATCAATTATAACTTACCTGTAACATTGGTGTTGTACACATATACTACTCACAAGTAAAATAAAAATCTAGTCAAATCACCAGGCACGAAATCCATGATAACCAAGGTTTGATCAATGAGCGATCAGATCATTTAGAAATATAATGCTTGATAGTAGTAGGTAGTAGTTGGTAGTACAGTTAAATAGCAAATTATAACGTTTACTCATGGGTGCTGAAAAGTTCGGTGCAGTTCAGTGCTTCATCCAGTCGTGACTGGAATGAATGATGCACAAACAACTGGAGAGGTGGAAGAGAGTTCCAGGTATTACAAACTCTGGAGCTGAATGGCTTTCATCACGGCGANCACATTTCAGCAGGATAACGTGAATTCAGTTAGTTCGGGTGCTCTCAATCACTTGCATACGTGCAATGATAATCAAGGCCAAACAACAACAACAAAGACACGATAGGTTATCGGACAAATGAACACACCAATTGGGCCAATCACAGGACAGGGGCAAGGGTCACACAGTCAACCACAGTGAGTGAACACATGACAGGGTTCAGTCCTACCAGGGCAGGGCAAGACTGGCCACAAAGTCTGATTGTTTACACAAATTGGGTTTAAGCCGTCGAATGGCGGAGGCTTCAGCAAACTGAAGTAGACGATGGTGTTATTGTCTACTTATGATCCTAAAAGACTTGCTAAGCTCCACACACAAGTTGCAATCTAATATGTGGCGAGCAATAGAGCTTTTAAGAACTTTATTTCCCTTCAGCGCTAGATTCTTCGGAATGCGCTCGGTACATTGAACCGCTCCGTGTTTCATAAGCCGACATGGACCGGTCAGTAGTTGAGCTTCGAAAGTTACTGTCCTATAACTTACAAGCGTGCCCTTGTTCGTACTCTATTCACACGAGCTCGTCGAATTTGTACAGAAGAGTCCTTGGACAGTAATCTTCTTTCAATTCAGTCGACTCTACTCGAAAATGGATAGCCTCTGAAGTTCATCAAAAGATACGCGGAAGATACAACAGTTAAGTAAAAAATATCCAATACCCCTAAAAAGAAAATTTATTTGAACATCCCGTTCAAAGGAGACGAAAATGACAGGCCTTTTGGTCGCGAATCAGCCATGGATTCCAAGCCCGTATAACATACTCGGTGTGTGGTCTTATGTATTCTGATACCAATCGGTGCAATAGGTCTGCTTCGAATGATCCCAAAACAAGAAAAAATGTAAACAGTGTACAGCCATGTACATTAATCAAACAAGTCGACAACTAAAGATGCGAGTATCCGAACATGACAGGAAATTCAAACACCCTCTGTACTGACTTCATTGGAAAAATTAATCTCACCTTATTTTTTGCTCCGGTTCGGTTCGATTAACTGTGCACTCATATGACCCATTACACAGATGACCTTCGAATGTTTTTTGCTGTGGTAATTCAGATCGACGAGATGACGCCTAACCTGGAGCGGCGCGTCACAGTTTTCGGACACATGCGATCAATCAAATTTGAATGCTGACGTTAATGACACACGTACGGCTTCCGACTACATGCCATGGGCAGATCGTGCCAGCCAATCCAAGACAGTGCAGACAGAAGCAAGATTATGCAAGTAGTATTGCAATCCGATTTGTGGAAGCCTAGATAACCAATAATCTTCTTTTGTACATTTCTTTCAATAAATGAACTACGTACTACTATTCCTGTGGTCTTTTCCTCGCGTCTCGTCCACGTGGGATACTGCGAGCTCGTGCCATTGCGGTCCAGTGCTTCCGTAGTCCAGTCCGTGATAGCTGATCTTTGATTCGTGTTCTGTGATTCTAGTTGCGTGGTTCGTGTTCCGAATTCCGTGAGTAATGCTACTACTATACTCATTACATTTGCCCATCATCATGACCCGACTTGGTCCGCCGACATACTTTGTACTTTGTTGTTATTGTTCACATACCGCCTCTAAGCGTTCCTCGTCCCATTTATTTGTGCGTCATCTACCCTTATCGTCCTTGAACTCTCGCTGTTCCACGCTTGCCATTCTCATGCGTCATTACTTACGAACTACCTCGGATCCGTTCCCTCACCCACGTTTGGTTCTAGTTCATTGACATCCCGTCCTCTTTATGTTGACCTTCATATTTGATCATTCGCTTCACTTGCTTAGCGGATTGTTTTGTTTCATAGGATCCCGTGAACCGTTTGTGTGCCTTGCATTGACCAATGACTGCGCTTCTTTATCGAGCACTTGTGATTGGTGTTTCTATCCCTTAAATTGTCCCGTTTCTGTGCATAGTTTGCATTCCTTTTGTTGACCGCTCCGCAGATGCTTTGTTCGGCGCCTGGACCCGCTTTGTATCTTGTTCTTATACCTTGGAGCTTGTTTTTGAACATATTTTCCTGCTTATAGTACACGTAGATTACCGACTTCTCGTTATCTGGAATCGGACTTGGGGTTTGTATCTACGAATCACTCAACCACTGGACGACAGTCCAGCACACCCTCCAAGAAATGCATCTGAGCTTAGGACCCTTGAGAGGGACTCAGCTATTGCTCTACACTCCATTTCTAAGGGACACTCCATTGACTTCGAAAAACTGATTATTCTGAAACAAGGTTTCAGGTCATATAGAAAACGTTTAATTACTGAGTCATTGTTCATCAACAGCAATCCACTTTGCGTTAATCGATCGGACGGAACCCAATTATCAGTTCACTGGCTTAATACCAGTTACACAACCAACCGCTCGCACACACACCCTTGTTCACTAACAAACAAGATTTAATCTAGCCACACCACAAAACCGCTCACAGACTAATCTCCCATCTTCTATGACGTAATCATTAGCTCTTTAACCTCTTGCTTCATTCACAACTTCCATGATCTCATTTATTATTATTAGTTATTACCTCACACACACACACACACTCCACACAAACTCAATTGTTCCTCCCCCTAAACCAATCAAAAACATCTCCAATTGATACAGTTTCTCTCACGATTTTCGTTTAATGTTCGCTTGTTAATTAACTTGAAAAAGGCCTTCCAAGAAGGTCGAAACGTCGTCAACCGAGAATTGTTGTTTTTTTGGTTTTTTCTCGTTGTGGCTAATCCAAACATTCCTATATGGATCTGATGATCCCAAAACACGTTTTTAGCAATCTAACGTGTTTTGAAGCCTTTGATAACGCTCCTGCGCAATGTGCTGAACATCCTAGATCCTCACGAACAATAACTCCCGGGTCCTTTTCGTTTTGAGAATGCGGTAATGACTGAGTTCTTAGTACGGAAAGCGACCTCTGCGGTGCAGCGATACAAACTTGAATTTCCCAACGTTGAATTCGATGTCATTAGTGATAGACCATCGGTAAGCTGCGTCGATAGCTTCCTGCAAGGTTGCATAATCTTCAACATAATCCTCAACGTTTTGGCGTCATCAGCAAATAATAATGCCTTTTCTCCAAGGTCATCTAGTAGGTCGTTTATGAATGCTAGGAAAAAGGTACAAACCGAGTACGGATACTTGTGAAACTCCACGGACGGCCTCAGTCGGTCCCGATAGAGAACCATTGACTCGAACCGATACAGTACGTTGTCGAAGAAATTCCTAAATCCAGTCAAGGGCAGGCCTCGAACACCGTAGTTGTGGAGCTTTCGCAGCAGTACATGGTAGTTAACCCTGTCTACTGCCTCTCCTGCGTCGGCTGATCTTGTCTATTTATCTCATACATCAGCATTTCTATTAAGTATATTATGATTGTGTTAGGTCATTCAAATTCATTGATAATTAGTGCCCGAGACTTTTGATTGGCTTAAAATTTCTAAAAACCAATCTCTCCAACACATGCACAGCTGAATAAAGACAACATGCCAAACAATGCGACGTATAAAGAAAGCTTCGGTGTGAGCCTTGGAGTCAACAACTCTATGACAACAGGGTAGACGGCCGGGATTTTGAACAGAAATTCCAGATTCCGGACACCTAGTGAATAACATGGGCCAATTGAGCAGATCAGTGCCATACCCATGTGATCCGGACGGCAGAAAACAAGTTATTCGGTGGTTGGGTTAAAACTAGAGCTTCCAAAAATATGAAACTGTTGACAAATTATTGATAATCGGTTCTCGTAGCTCGGGCGAACTAAATTAAATTTCGCCTGTTCACCGAGCTTGGCACTTCAGTTCACAAGAACTGATGATGTCAACTCGGCTGGTGATGAAACGTTTACAAACAAATTGCCAAGCTCAGCAAATAGGCGAACAACTGAAACTGTTGCAGGTTACTTGTCAATCTGGCTATAATCTCCAGAATCAGTTTCCGTCTCTGCCCTTTTAACGGAGGATTGCTTNCTTCATGCAAAGATAGTGTGAAATAATCCAAGCTAGGACTGCGATCGGTTTTGTGATATAATGAAAAAGTCCTCTGAAACGAAATTGATCTTAAAATTAATTAATTCTGATGGACAGTAGACGATAGAGGATTACACTAATGATCTTTCCTATTCGATTAAACTCATCAATAAAAAAAAGAATGCATGAAAGATGTATCGTTATTAAACGACCGCACATCGGTATGTGCACGCTGGGTTTGAAAATATGACGAAAGAAAAGTGAAAAGCACAATCTGATGGCAAAACAAGTCGAGTAGGCAAAAAAATGAAAAGAACAAAACGATGATGTAGACTGTGAAGGACAAAAATAAAGAATGTACCCCGAGAGTCTTCTCTGACACGCCGTTCGGAAGCGGACCGCCATTGGATTTGGTCGTCGGACGCGAGGAGTCCTGCGTGTCACCCCGTTTCATTCCCTGACCATTTCGGCGGGATTGATTTTTCACCGGCGCACTCGACTCGCTACCCGTGGACGCTGACGGCACAGTCCGAGATAGTTCCACACTGGCACCAGGTGTGGAACTTGGTCGGCGAGGAAAAATCGGTTTCCCATGACTAGGTGATCGAAATAGGCGGAATGACGGTGGAAAATGAGCCAAATCACAATGTAGACAATACAGAATGACGACAACACTGTTAGCTTGAATGATATAAAACAGAAGAAAAATGCTACAGCATGTTCAAACTTGATCTAAGCATACGGGCGAGTGAGTAAACAAATATCTGTTTTGTAAAAGGACTTGAAGAGACTTGTTTCTTATCTGGCTCAGCTAAACGCTTGTGCCTCTAAACTCATTCATTTTCACGGAAATGAATTACTTTGCTTTCATTATGTATTTTGTAGCCAAATGGGCAGAAGTTTAGAATGTGAATGTTTGAACTAGCCCATTCAGTTTCTCACTTTCGAGGGGAGATTGTTAATTCCGCACCAATTGAGTGCATTCAAACGCAAAACAAAACAGCTGCATAGTGCTCACATAGAGAGATTTCTATCGAATTTTAATGCATTTAACTGACGCAGAATTACTGAACACCCCACAGTGTCTGGTGCCTGTGAAAAACTGAATGGACTAATTCAGGAATTCACCTGCCAAATTGCCCGAGCCGTTGGTTGAAAATGTTGCTGTTGGTGGTGCGACTAGGAGGGGTGACGGTTTTGAGTCTCAGTCCGAAGGTTCGCGGATGGACAACGAAAAAAACAAAACCGTGAATCCGCAAAGCGACGTAGGGGACTGTGACTGATTGTTCCGTGTCCGATGGGGATCGAGCCACATATTGCATATAGATCGATGCGTGTTAAGCTAGAGGTCGAATGGTATGTCTAATGCAATGCTGTCTATGTCAAATTGCACGAATCTGATGGGGTAGCCGGACGAGCAGTGCTGAGGTTAGGCGTAGAGTTTTAGGTAATCGCGGTCATCCACTGGATCAAGTGATCGACCTCCATAGATTACGTCGGTTGGGACATGTGTTACGCATATCACCAAATAGGTTGCAACTGCGAGCGATATTTGCCGAGGTAGGTAGCTATCGGAAAAAGGTCAAGGGTGGTCAAGCTAAAACCTGGCATGAGGTTATGAAAACCCTAACCAGGAAACTAGGTCACATAGGCCTCGTTAGGCTCCCTGGCTGGGGACCCCGAGATCATAACCACCGATGGTTAGATACACTGAGTGATATGGTTGGGTGCCGCAAATAGTGGCGCTCGTACATCCACTCATTATTCTCCTAACGCCACTCTATATGAATTCTCCATCTTCCGCTTGAATTTGCTTTCAACATTCCAATCTTCATTCTACTCTTTAATTCAAATGGGCAGCCAAAAGACAGCAACCAAAACCGGTGCATGAACGTGCATGGTTAATGGTTGTAAAAACAAACTGAATGCAATGTTTGCAACTTACAAGTGTGATCTGTATCATTAAGATATGAGATAAAGATGAGGAAAACTGAATTCAACAAGCTCAGTTGAATATCCTGAAAATAGAATACGTTGAATTGTCGAATAATAGTTCCCGCTTCAGACCGATGTGATGGAATTGAGGAAAGTAAGCCGGATTCAATAATCAGTGAATCGATTTCAGCTATTTAGACTTGCTCCACGCAAGAAATAGACCAGAAATAGTAAACTAATTCATTCTCTCTCACTAAACCGATGACCGGAATCTGCAGAACAACAGGATTGTTTGTTCTGTCTCAACAGAGAACTTCTCACCTAGTAGATCAAGACTGCTTAAAAAATCAATCCAAAAATATCGATCTATTCGAAATTATCCCATCATCTGGTAGAATAGAACATTAATAAAGGGCACAAAACAACGCGGTTTAGAATGGTTCTACCACAAATTCATTTTATTTGCGTGCGGGGGCGGAAAAAATACGGAAAAGAATCTTACGTTGGATGCGGACTGGGTGATTTCGACGGTTTGGCGGTCCCGGATGGTCGCTTCGGTGCCCCTGGTGGATGATCCTCCGCGGGGGGCGGGCAATTCGGACGGCACATATTTTCATCTGGTAATGAAGGCGGATGGAGTCTATTCGATGAACCGGAATTGGATGCATAGATCGATTGCACTCGAACTGTATCTTCAGTTTTGAGGGCTGGATAAATGTGAAACGGACCATACAGTACATATATATGTGGGAACAGATAGATTGGGCCACAGCTAGATCCATGCGGTGAATCAACCCTATCAGATGACGCCAGCCAAGCGCCTACGTGTTACAGTTCCCGACAATGAACCACAGACCAGGCGTGCCAACTGAACAGAAATCAAGCGGTCCAGACAGAAGCTTTTAGACGCCATTGGTGGATACCTGTACAACCAATAAACTTCCTCTGTACGTCTTATTCGATTTCATTGGTCTCTTTCAATAAACATATTGCTACTTCTGTGGCCTGCGTCGGGGGGACGGGAGATTGCGGCGTACAAGTGCTAGTGTGATTTGGTGTTTCAGTTGCTTCCGTGATTCGTAATTCGTGGTCTGTGCCTACTTCGACTACTATAACCACCCACCCACCCCTAACCTTGAGATGAAACGACAATCTGTGAATCTGGATAATATTACCAGTTCACATCGTCGTAAGTGATTATCAACTTCAGTGCGTATTCTCAAGTTTGCTCCCCGAGTGTGAATACGGGACTGGGAATGTCTCAGATAGCAGCTGAGTTATTCTCATTGTTTTCTTCTGTCAACATTTGACAAGAGCCACAGGACACAAAGCCCATTGATGAAAATCGCGCTCCTCATTGAACACGATCACGTCATCACGGACGGACAACGAAAGTCTGGTCTCCAAACAATGACCTTCTCAGATTTGTTTGAATACTACTTTAGAACAAAAAACTGTAACACATTATACACAAGATAAAAACAGTGTGTACATGTGCGAGAATTGTTTTTAATCAGTAATCGAATCTGACATTGCAATCCGTTGATTTATAAACGCTCATCTAATATCATACAAACCAAGACCCATTGCGGGAATCGAGTCAAGAAACAGAACGAGTAGACATATTGTTATACACAAATACGTACCAATAGCCTGCGCGGAATTTTGTTCTTCCATTGGTTTTTTGACCGATGCCTGCATACAGATCGAGAGAAGGGGGTGGGGTGAGCGAGGGAACGAGAGAGAGAGAGAGAGAGAGAGAGAGAGAGGAAAAGCATGCAAACAGGAAAATAACAAAATCGAGGCAGAACAACTGAATAACTGACTGATCAGACACACACACACAGACCGCAACAGTAGTCACGAGCACCCTCGAACCTCATTATTAGATCCGCGTGATTTCGATCGGGTATGACGATTGTCCACGCTCTCTCCGAGCATTTTGGTCACTGTTCTTCGACCAGAAGGGAAATCTACCTCACCGGTATCGTCTGTCTCCTCGCCACCGGTGTCTCTCTTGAAAACATCCGAGCCCACAGTTGTCGGTTGCAAGGACGATGCAGCGGGAGCCGGGGGAGGAGGGACGGGAGTAGTTCTGGACGAAATCGGTTCGTTCAGTCGCATCAATTGCATCGCGACTAATGAGCTGAGCTGATTCTCCAGATTGATCAGCCTCCGCTCTGTCAGAGGTGACAACGAACACTGGGGGTGATTGTTCGAGGATTCACCCGGCTGAGAAAACAGACACGGCAAGAAGAAATTGGTGAAGAAAATAATACGATTTTAAACAGTACGGTGCGTTCAGTTGGAGCACACTGCTTTCTGGTAGGACCAAATAATAATTTCAGTACGTAAATTATTTTTTGATATTCCATGACACCGTTCTGTTGAAATGGTTGCTAATCACCCGGTGTTTCTATGGCTGAGAATAAACTTTCCCCGGACTAGTTCATACTTGATCACATTATTATTACGATCATTTTTCGTATTTAGCTTGCAGTTACTTGTGAGTAGTGATGTGGGATAATTGATATTGATTTGAACTGACTGTCCTTCAAACTTCGCCTTCATGCACAATTAACCGTACACACCAGAAACGTACTGAACAACATAAACCATGACAATCCAACCAAAAGTAAAGCCTGTAGATTCAATGTAAGCCAATAATTACGTAATATGACACGGAAAGATCAGTGAACAACAATAAAAAGATGATTGCCATAATAAGTCATTTTCACTGAGCACAAGAAACTACGGATATGCGATTATCGATACGATATCGACAGTGCAAATCTAAGGCATCTATGGTACCACCATGACACACTCATGTTGTTTTGCTTCTATTGTGTTTTCAAGACCATCTCCGAATCATGTCCCACGAGATGTTCCCCCAACGATTCCAGACAAAATACTATTACAATCAGTGCAAGCGTTTATTGGAAGGGGCAGAGAACAAGTGCGTTGAATAATGAAGATGCGTACTATATTTACAGGGGTTGCGCATGGTCTACATTCTTCCGGGAATGGAACATACGAGAACGACGACGAAGAGAATGAACAAATCAGATTGCGGTATTCTGTCCGTTACCTGGGATCCTACGGATCTAGTAACACAAGAAAACACCGGCACACTCCTGCAGTGGTGATTGGTCCCATTCCATTTCAAATCGAATTGTCTGGGGCAAGTTAGGTTTGCCCTGACAGCTTCATACCGAGGCACCTTGACCAATGGCGCCAAAAGGAATGGAGAGGGGTCCGTTAAACGATCATTTCTTTTTCCGAGTCACTCTTCACGTGGTCGATGATAACAACCGGATTTATAAACAACCGTTAGTTCTCTCGATATTATCCTTTTACAAACTGAAATAGGCATATTCTGTGGTTTATAATGGATTAGATACGTACAACGAATGCAAGTCCACCGTCTTTATGGCGGCTAACTGTGCGCACGATTGCAAACGAAAGTCACGGTGATCTGACTTTGGAGCATGTGGGACTCGGTGATGATGATGGATTTCGTCACACTTTCTCGAGAATGTCGAACGACGTTCGTATACACATGGCTCCGAATTTAATCCGGAATCCCAAGCGCGGCAAAATCTTGCCTGTGAGTATTTGTGGGACTTTGACAGAGACACATCCGAAAAACGACAGAGGACTTCCAAACAGTCCTCGTTTACGTCCACATCTAGGATTTTTCATACATCTACGTTTTCCCACTTCATTGTGAACACCTTACCGGTTTGAAGCTAATAGTAAAACAATAAAATATTTGACATAACTAATCAAAGTATCTGGTAAAAACTACTTTGAGGCGGATTGTATCAAACACAGAATATATATAGGGAAGTTTATCTACTGCAACAGTTGATGCTTTTTCAGACACGAAACAAACCATGCCGTAAATTATGCAAACGGTTTTGTGAGTGAGAAGACTAAAGAGTCCACTATAGATGGTAAACGGTGCTACATGTGAGTCAAAAGACAACATCAAAATCGAACTGGATTACGAAAGAAAAAAAGCAATATCGAACGCAAACGAGAATATGAACTGTGCAAAGAAAGCTTCCGAAAGCCTCAATATGATCAGAGTGAGTGCCTCTTGGCGGAAGTTTTTTCCAACCAGTGAAGATAAAAAGCCAACATTCGGGGCTATAACCGGTTTGGAGGACCACTGTCAGTTCATCTACGGGAATTGGCTAAAATCTCTAATTCCAAACCAACCAAGAAGGGGCGTACGAACCACGCACGCACCTTCCTTATCATGGTAAGGGTCATCGGTTAGATTGAGCATCAAGGTGTATTGGGAACTTAGGACGTTTGACCCCGTCCAAAGGGTGTACGATCCGATGGACTGGCCACAGGTCCCCAATGGATTGCGGTTTTCGCACACCGTCCAGCTGCCTTGCAGGTCAGTCTTTGACCGGACATAAGCTCCGGTTCCGAATTCCCTAACAGAATTTACCTGAATTTGCCTGATCAACCTAACCGTATAGTACCCTCGAGGCAATCATGGAACTTTTTCTCTTTCTTATAAAGATTATGGTACTGTGATTTGTTTGGCACACAATCATGAACTCAGATATGTGTGAAAAGATAAACATTATATGTATATACATTTATGTTAAAATAAGTGAAGAAAGAGTTTAATCCAGCAGAACTGATCNCCACAGATACTAGAAAAGGCCGTTGGGGCAATAGCAACACTAATTTTTCCATAGCTTGGCAACCACTGGAGATTGTTAGGTGGCTTCTGGCGATCGTTAGGTAGCTACTGGAAACAACCTACACCTTTTCTTACCAAGCTTTAGCCAACACCAATATTTCAGCCACGACTCAAGAATTTAGCCTTAATCCGCAAACTTCATTCATAGTGATGTAAGTGTGTCAAATAGAAAAGTATCGACAAATTCTGAGATTAACAATTGTTTGAAAACTTTGGTGTTTAGAATGGTGAATATTGTTAGGCTTATTAAAAAATGAGTATGTGTGATGGTCGTGTGCTGCACAATTAACCGTCCTAATTGAATCAAATATAGCAAAGTGAGTCAACTGAGGA